TAGCCAGGCATGGTAGTGTGTGCCTGTAGTTCCAGCTACTTGGAAGACTGAGGTGGAAGGATCGCCAGAGCCCAGCAAGTTGAGGCTGCGGTGGCCGGGAGTGTGCCACTGTACTCCAGTCTGGGTGACGGAGTGAGACTCCAACTCAAAAAAAAAAGTAAATAAAATTTTAAGTTATTACTGTTTTAACTGCCAAAGTAGTAGTCATTTTTTCCTGCTATTTATAAGTTGCTCTAGTTAGGCAATGTACATAGTTCTTAGCTTCATTGTTTATCAGCTGCTATTTAGAATAAAGATGGTGTTATCTCTTTCTTATACAGGTCTACTATTAAATGGTTCTGAATAATTCTTACGTTTCTCCTAGCCTAAACTTTCTTTTCTGTCATTGGTCCTTAAAGTTCCCCTCATTTTTTTTTAAGATTGGAAATATAGATTATTTAGAAAGTAAATTGAGAGAGAGAAAGAGAGAGATAGAAAGGAGATTCACCTCCCCAAGGTAGGGGCCAAAGTTCACCTCATTTTTAAAAGACTCTTGGTAATAACTTTACCTTAAAAGAGTCACATATGTTACTGTGCCTGTTTTCTGCAGTTTTTAATTAACTTACTGAAGACCATTCCCACTGAGTTAGAGACAATCTTTCTTCTTAGGTGGGTTTAACCCCTTGTTTATTTTGAGCATTTTTAAATCACTTAACAAAATATGTTTTAAATTACATATATTGGGCAATTTAAAAAAGTACCCTTTACCTTTATGATCACATCCCAAATGATAGAATGGTTAGCAGCATCAAACATAAAGATTAAAATATGAATGCTAAATAGTATACCTGATATAACTGATGCCTTTAACATACACTCTGTTAATATGACTGGCCAAAAGTTTTTCTCTAATTATCTTTTTTGAACATATTGTACTAAGTTCTTTATTGAAAAATAAGATGACAAAAACTGGTATAGATTACCATACACTTACAGAAATACAATGTTCTCATTTTACGGATAAAGAAAACTAAAGCTCAGAGAGAGCCAAAACTACTACCTCCAAATCCTGACACCCAGTCAAGTCCTAGGAGTATTCGGCTTGAATTTTGTGGATCAATTTTTTATTTAGAAAATAGCAGCAATTCTCTTAGGAGTCAAATTAGAATGTCTACAACTGCCTTGAATATCCTCAACTATCAGGATAATTAAAACTAGTATATTGTGTTCTATTTTATTTTTCAAAGGATAGAAACTATATGGCTTTGGAAAGTCTCCTCACCTTCTCCTACCCCTGCAGGCTATAAGGCAGGCTATCATTGTTAACAGCATGCTGTTTAAGCCTCCAGACATATTCTATACTAACAAATGTACACACACAGGTGCCACTTATGACCAGCATGTATTCTTAATTGGTGCCCATATGGCAGTTCACTAGTTAAGTATTTTGATACCACCCCACAACTGTATGTGTGTAAAAAATGTTTATGTTGATATATACAATACATAAATGTATATACAATTCCCACACAATTGTCTGACCTTTCTATGTTATGAGAGCTCAAACGATGATGTATACCTTGACTTTAACTGTTATCTCAATAAGCTCTATTTTATACTTATACTGTATTAACACTATTGGTGAGTATGCCCGAGACTCCTTTGCCCCAAGAGTAATTCTTGCCCTGAACTACTTTAGTAGCATGTCAAGAATTAGAAAAGGGAATAAAAATAGAAAGAAACATAAGAAAAAGAGATGGCTTTTATAAAACAGAAATGTTTCCTACATAAAACTGTGCCTAGTTAACTTTTTAAAACATTTAAAAAATAAAACATTTAATAACATTCTAAAATAAATTTATGCTAACAATTGGTACTATACTAATCTGTCACAGAATCAGAGACTATAAAGAATGCTGGGAGTTACTGAATATAGTTATTTCTTCTAAGCAGCAAACTGTGCGTCTGAAAGGCTCTAATAGTACATTAATTTTAAACAAGTTTCCAAATGAAGTCAACCAAGATTTTCTATGTCTTAAGTATCTGAAAAATATGAAAGTATTTGAGAAGTCTAGCTATGTAACTTTTTTGTAGAATGTAACAATTTTTAAAAGAACTGGTCTATTTTTAATTTTCTAAATGAAGCTAAAAACATAATGACCAGAAACATAATTACCATTTGCTCATATTTCATGACATCCTTTTCAGCAATTTGAGCTGCCCTTTCTTTATTCATGTAAGCTGCTTTTAATTTCTTCTCCAATTCTCTGAGCTCAATGCTGTTAAAAAAAAAAAAAAAGACAAATTTAAATTTGAGGGCCATGAGAGAATTAAGCCTCACAGAAAATGAGTGACTGCACTTTTAATTTTCTTTTTTAAAATTTATTTATTTTTGAGTCAGGGTCTCACTCTGTCACCAAGGCTGGAGTGCAGTGGCACGATCACAGCTCACTGCAGCCTTTACTTCCTGGGCACAGGTAATCTTTCCTGCTCAGCCTCCCAACTAACTGGGACTATAGGTATATGCCACCACACCCATCTTTTTGTTGTTGTTGTTGTTGTTGAAACAAGGTTTCACTATGTTGCCCAGGCTGGTCTTGAACTCATGGGCTCAACTGATCCTCTTGTCTTGGCCTCCTAAAGTGCTGAGATTACAGGTGTGGGCTACCATGCCTGACCTTAGGGCATTAGGGCTTACATTTCCTGGTTAAGAAGGGCAGCCCTAGTTTATTACATTCATTTATTTGTTTATCCTGCGCCAATACCACACCATCTCAACTACTGTAGATTATATCTAGGAGAAGTCTCTAATTTTGGTCGTCTTAAAAACTGTCTTAGCCATTCTTGGTACTTTGCGTTTCCATATACATTTTAGAATCAGCTTGTCAAACTTCATAATAACAAAACTTGCTGTGATTGTACTGAATTAATAAATCAACTTAGAGTACACTGACATCTATACATTGAGTCTTAAATTCAGTAAACACGGTATATCCTTCCAATTATTTAGGTTTTTAAAAAGTCTATCAATAATGGTATATATTTGTGTTTTGTTTTTGGCATTACTTTTTTATGTTCTTACAGGATAATCATTTTTTCAAGTTTCATTTTCTAATGGTTGATTTACAGAAATATAGTTAATGGTTATCTATTGACTTTATACCCAACAACACTGCTAAATTTACTTACTCTTATTTACCTGTGGATTATTTTGGATTTTCTATACAATCAAGTAATCTGTGAGTAATGAAAGTTTTATTCCTTTATTGCCAATCCTAGCATCTTTTTTCTTTAAATTTTATTTTTAAAATGTGGGATACAATTCAGGGTTAGGTATACAAATAGTCATTATACAGGTAAAGTTTGGGCCTCACTTTAGTGCCCACTTCACCTGGTTTGAGAAAAGGTACCCTTATCGATGAAGTGTGCCCCCACCCCCACCCCCTGGCAGTTTCCCACTACTGCCAATCCCTTTCTTATAGTATTATAATTTTCTAATTGTTCAGGGTCCACTTATGAGTGACAATATATGGTACTCAGTTCTTTGTTTCTGTGATAGATCACTGAGTATCATAGACTTCAAATCCATCTAAGTTGCTGCGAAGTTCATAATTTTGACCTTTTTTATGACTGTGTAATAATCCATCATGTATATGTACCACATTTTTTTTTTTTTTATTCAGTCTACTTTTGATGGACAGCATGACTGGTTTCATGTTTTTGCTATCGTGAACAGTGCTGCAATAACCATGCATGCGCAGGTATCTTTTTTATAGAATGATCTGAGTTCCTCCAGGTATATGCCCAGAAGGACTGCTGGGTTGTAGGGAAGGTCAATTTTTAGATCTTTTAGGGAATACCACACTGTTTTCCACAGAGGTTGTACTAGTTTACACTCCCACCAACAGTGTAGAAGTGTTCCCTTTTCCCCACATCCTCTCCAGCATCTGTTGTTTTTTGAGTTATTGATGATGGCCATCCTGACTTGAGTTAGGTGGTATCTCAATGTGGTTTTAATTTGCATTTCTTTGATGACTAGTAAGGCTCAGCATTTTTTCATGTATCTGTTGGATGCTCGTATGTTCTTCTTTTAAGAAATGACTATTCATATCTTTTGCCCACTTTGTAATGGGGCCTTTTTTTCTTTTTAGCACGTTTAAGTTCATTATAGATCCTAGATGTTAGGCCTCTGTCAGATATATACAGTTGGCAAATATTTTTTCCCAGTCTGTGGGCTGTCTCACTACTCTCTTGATGGTTTTGGCTTTGCAGAAGCTTTTAGGTTTGATGAGGTCCCACTTGAATATCCTATCTTTTATGGCATAGGCATTTGAGGTTTTGATCAGGAATTGGTTGCTAGTCCAATTTCCATTAGGATGTCCCCTGCATTTTCTAAGATTCTTATAGTTTGAGGTTTGATGTTTAGGTCTTTGAATCATTTAGAGTTGATTTTTGCCCTTCTTGATAAAAACTCTTGAACACCTAGGCATAGAGGGAACATACCTCAAAATAGTACAAGTCATCTACAGTAAACCCACAGCCAATATATTGCTAAATGAACCAAAATTGGACGCATTTTCCCTGAAAACTGGAACAAGATAAGGCTGCCCTCTTTCATCCCTCCTTTTCAACACAGTGTTGGATGTCCTAGCTAGAACAATCAGACAAGAGAAGGAAATCAGGGATATCCAAATAGGAAAAGAGGAAGTCAAGTTATCCCTCTTTGCTGACAATATAATCCTATACCTCAAAAATCCAGGAGAATCTGTCAAAAACCCTCTTGCACTGATAAAGAACTTTGGAAAAGTCTCAGGGTACAAAATCAACATGCAAAAGACCGTTGCATTCTTATACACCAACAACAAAACAGGCAGAGAACCAAATAAAAAGCACAATCCCATTCACAATTGCCACACACACACAAAAAGAAATACGTTGGCATTTTCCTAATCAGAGAAGTGAAAGACCTTTACAATGAAAACTACAAAACACTGCTCAGTGAAATCAAAGATGACACAAACAAATGGAAAAATATTCTATGCTCATGGATTGGAAGAATCAACATTGTTAAGATGTCCATCCTACCCAAGGCAATCTACAGATTTAACACAATACCCATTAAAATTACCAGCATTATTGTTCTCAGATCTGGAAACAATACAGAAATTCATATGGAAACAAAAAAGAGCACGAATAGCCAAAACAATCCTCAGCAAAAGAAACAAAGTGGGAGGTATCAGACTTTCAGACTTTAAACTTTACTATAAGGCTACAATAATCAAAACAGCCTGGTATTGGTACAAGAACAGGCATACAGATCAATGGAACAGGATAGAGATTCTGGAAGCAAAACCTCAGTTTCTCAACCAACTCATCTTCGACAAAGCCTCCACTAAACAAACACTGGGGAGAGGAGAATTTATTCAGTAAATGGTGCTGGGAAAACTGGCTGACCACATGCAGAAGATTAAAACAAGACCCCTACCTATCACAATACACAAAAATCAACTCTAAATGGATCAAAGACTTAAATGTAAAATCTAGCATCTATTATTGCAATAGTTAGTATGTCTAATACAATGATGGATAGAAGCCATTATAGCACATATCCCTGTCTTTTTCTCAGCATAAGAGGAAAAGTGTTTAACATTGTTGTCATTAAGTATGATGTTGCTGTAAATTCCCTATTATTCCTAGTTTACTACACTTTTTAAAAATCAGAGTCATTATTTTTATCAACTGGCTTCCTTTTTGTTCATATTAACTCTGTTAACAGGATGAAGTACATTTACTGAGTGTTTAAATGTTAAATCAATCTAGCATCCTAGAATAAATTAAATTTAGCTTAGGATGTATTATCTTTCTTATATACCACTGGATTTGATATTAACTAATATTATATCTTTGATTATAACAGTTAAATTCATGAGAAAAATTAGTCTATATTTTTCTCATAATATCCTACTTAGGTACTAGTCTGCTTAAAATAGAAGCGCTCCCTCTTTTTCTGCTCTGCTCTTTTTGTTAATTATTTCTGAAAGTTTGAGAAAATTTTCCTTGCCCTGTAGGTGTCTTTGTGGAGAAGGTTTAAATTATAGATGCAATATCTGTAAAAGTTATAAGTTTCTATTTCTTCTTGTGCCAGTTTGGTATAAAGTGCTAGGAATTTATCTATTTCATCTAAAATTTCTAATTTAAAGTTGTTCATCATATCCTACTATTATCTATTAAATATCTGTATGATCTATAGTGATAAGTCATTATCTATTCCTAAAACTGGTTGTTTATGCATTCTCTTTTACTCTTTTTTATTCTTGCCAGAGGGTTATAATTTTATTAGCCTCTTAAAGGCACAATTCTTGGCTTTTTTTACTTTATGTTTATTTTCAAACTCACTCATTTCTGCTCTTATCTGTATTATTGCCTTCCTCCTACATTGTTTTTGTAATCATTCTAAATGAGAATTTGGTGTTTGTTTTCTAATAGTTCCAGATGAAGTCTTCCTTTCAGTATTTCAGATTTCCTATTTCTAACTACTCTTGAGTAACAGTCTTAGCTACATTCCACAAATATTTTTTTAATTCTGTAACTTTTTTAGTGTGGTAAATATATATAACAAAAAGTTGCCATTTTAATAATTTTCAAGTGTACAATTCAGTGGCATTAATTACATTCACAATATTCTGCAACCATCAACACTATTTCTTGAACTCCTAAGTTCAAGTGATTCTCCAGCCTCAGCTTCCCAAACTGCTGGGATTACAGGTGTGAGCCACCATCACTAGAATTTCTAAAATGTTTTCATCCCCTCAAACAGATGCTGTTCCCGTTAGGCAATAACTCCCCATTCCTCCGTCTCCCTAACCCCTGGTAATTCCTAATCTACTTTTTGTCTCTATAAATTTGCCTATTCCAGATAGTTCACATAGGTGGAATTATAAAATATTTGTCTTTTTGTGTCTCACTTACTTCACTTAGCAGAATGTGTTCAAGACTCACTCACATTATAGCAGGTAGCAGAACTTCTTTCCTTTTTGTAATTGAAAGATATCTCACTGTGTGTATATACTACATTTTGTTTATCCACTCATCTATTGATGGGTACTCAGGTTGTTTCAACCTTTTAGCTACTGTAAATAATGCTGCACTGAACACCGGCATATAAATATCCATTTGAGTCCAGGTATTCAATTCTTTTATATGTATACCTAGGACTGGAATTGCAGTGTCATATAGTAATTCTATGTTTAACTTTTTCCCACAGCACTTATATCATTTT